GGGCTGCTGTGCCAGCGCCTCGCCATCCGTCTGGGCGTGGTGACCGGGAAGGACCTGGGCGAGATCTGCTACCTCTATTACCCCAAGGTGAGCAGCCACGGGGAGTGACAGTCTGGGACCCCGTGCTTGGGCTGGTGACAGTCCTTGCCGGGCTGGAGAGGAGCAGGAGGATGCTGTGAGCGACCTGCCTCTCTCAGGGGCTCCCCAAAGCCCCCCAGGCCCCGGTGTCCCCCACCTAGCACCCACACCCCTGCAGTGCAGGGGCCAGGGTGAGAGGTGGTGAGCAGCTGCTTCAGTATCCCGGTGTTACCTGGGGACACACGAGAGCGTCCCTGCGGGAGTCAGCCCAGGCGTGGGGCAGCAACGCGAAACCGAGACGCGGGAAAGACGCGAGAAAGCCTGAGCGTGTTGGGGCAGAAAGCTGGGGGGATCGAGAGGAGATATCACACGACAGAGGAGGGGGGAGTTGGGGGTCCCATCTTAGTGTCAAAATCCTGATTGGGGGGGACGAGCAAGGAGATGCTGGGTGAATGACAGGTCCCCAAAAGGAGGGCTGGATGCATCCCTCTGCCCTGCCTCCCTCAAACCCCCCTATCTAGACAGACAGATCCTATCCTCAGCTCTCACTGGGGCAGGGATGAGGAGGGGGGGAACAGGCTCGGATTTAACACTCGCCTTTCATCCTGAGTTTGTGTTGTGAAAGAAGCTGAGAGGGGTCTTCTGGGGTCCCCAGGCTGCTCTGCTACAGCCTGGAGACAGGGATTTGCACCCAGAAGCTGTGCTAGCTTGCCCAGAGCTATGCACCACTGTGGGTTCAGGCACCACTGTGGGCTCAGGCATCTCTGTCCCCTCCAGGTGCCCCGTGTGCTGCTCTGGCTCATGATTGAGATCGCCATCATCGGCTCTGACATGCAGGAGGTGATTGGGACAGCCATTGCCTTCAGCCTGCTCTCAGCTGGCCGGTGAGCCTCCCCACAGGAACCCCAGCCCCCCCATGGCCCTATCCACAGAGGGCCGTGTATCTAATCCTGCCCCTGGCCATCCTGCAGCATCCCCCTCTGGGCTGGGGTCCTTATCACCATCGTGGACACCCTCTTCTTCCTCTTCCTCGATAAGTATGGTGAGCACCAGGGTGAGGGCTGGGAGTGCTGTCAGTGCCCCTGTGGCACCAGTGACCCTGCTCTGTTCCACCCCATCTCTTGACCTTTCTAGGGCTCCGCAAACTGGAGGCTTTCTTCGGCCTCCTCATCACCATCATGGCCCTGACCTTTGGCTATGAGGTGAAGGGGGGAGCTGGGCACAACCCTTTTCCTGCAAGGCTGGCAAGGGACCCCGCCACCCCGTGTCCCCGTGCTCCCAGCCTGTGCCAGGGGGGTGGCAGCTCACAGTGCCCCCTCTCACTGCTTCCCAGTACGTGGTGGTGGGGCCGAGGCAGGTGGAGGTGCTGAAGGGCATTTTCCTGCCCAGCTGCCCGGGCTGCGGGCGAAAGGAGCTGC